GGTGCTGGGCAAGCAGGAAAGGCCAGCACCCCCTCAGATGCCTGTGACCCTCTAGACCAGGGGCAGCAAACTTTTCCTGTGAGGGTCGAACAGTCACTATTTTAAGTTTTGCAGGTTGTATGGTCTCGGTTGTGACTACTCCCCTCTGAGACTACAGGGCAAAAGCCAACACCACTACCAGCTGCCGTGGAGTTGATTCCGACTCCTGACGACCCCATGCGTCTCAGAGTAGAACTGTGTTCCATAGAGTTTTCAAAGGTTGTCGTTTTGGAAGTAGATTACCAATCCCTTCTTCCAAGGTGCCTCTGGTAAGACTCGAACCTCCTATCTTTCGGTTAGCAGCCCAGCGTGTTCACTGCACCACTCAGGGACTGACTCCAGCTGCAGACGATGTGTCAACGAATGGGTGCGGCCGAATACCAATAAAACTTTATGTACACTTAAATGTGAGTTTTATATCATTCTCATATGTCACATATTATTTTTCTTTTGTTTTTTTTTGTCCAACCCTTTAAAAATGTAAACCTCATTCTCGGTTTGCAGAGCGCAGGAAAGCAGGCAGCCCGCCAGATCCACAGGCTGTAGCTCGCTGGCCCCCGTGCTAAAAGAAGAAAATGCGCAGGTACCTGAAATCCGCATTGAGCAGCCGGATGTAAGAGTCTGGCTTTGAATTTCTTAGCTCCTGAGCAGAGGCAGAATGACACGAGAGGGACAGTGCAGTGAGGAAGGAGTTCCTGGGGGTCTAAGGAAGGCTTTTGAACAGTCCCTAAGGTCTAGGACCACCAGCCATCCATCAGTTTGTTGTACTGTGGTCACCTGAGGGTTGCTAGGATGCCGGGAGCTATGCCACTGGTACCTCAAGTATCAGCAGGGTCCAAAGATGACACACAAATTCGTGAAGTGTTCCACATCTTTTCACTTCAGCAGCCCATATACTAAAATTGGGACAATACAGAGAAGATCAGCATGGCCCCTGTGCAAACACCAGCAGGTCACCCATGGTGGGCAGGTTTCAGTGGAGCTTTCAGACTCAGACTAGTAAGAAAGGCCTGGTGATCTGCTACCAAAAATCAGCCAATGAAAACCCTTGGATCACAACAGAACACTGTCCAATACAGTGCTGGAAGATGAGCCCCCAGGTTGGAAGGCGCTCAGAATACACAGTGGCCGCAACCACGGAGCAGACAAAACGACCCTGAAGATGGTGCAGGACCAGGCGCCATTTCGCTCTGAGCTGGAGCTAACTGAATGGCAACTAACAATGACAAAGGTCTAGGAACTGGAGATTCTCCTCCTTGATCACCCTCAAGTGCATGTGCTACAAGGAAAACGGGCCCCTCACACAAGTGGGGGGCCAGGCAGAGCTCCGCTTGCAGGAGGGAGAGAGGTCATGTTCAGCAGTAAAGAAGGATCCAGTGGCAGGACTGGGAGAAGCCACCAATCGCCTCAGTCTGAGCGATTTCCAATCTGTTGTCTAGAAGGTGAGATGCATTAACAGCCCCTGCAGCCTGGTGTATACAGGGACAACAAACGGGCTGTCCCAGTTTACTACCAAAAAGCCCGACAGGTGACGTGCCGACCACCATGGACACCTTGTGACTAATGGCAATTCGCAGGCTAAGGTCCCCTGTCCCTGCCCGACCTGGCCAAACCTGGCCATGCAGAGGCTGCCCAAAGCCTGGACGCCCGCCTTGAACCCCTGGCTTGCTCGAAGTGCTGCACGCCGCTCGTTCAGTAATTTCACGCTACACCGCCTAACAACGTAAGCGTGGAGGCCCAATCTCAGGCTGCACTTCCCAAATGTCACTTGTTTGTGAACACATGGCTGAGCCCAAAATTGCTTTTAATATCTGGACAGTCCCTGCCGGCCCGGCAGCGAAGCTCTGACGGCGCCCTCAGGACAAGTCCCGGCCCTATTCATGTCTCAATCCGCATTTGCGCTTGGACTTGGGCCGCAATGCAGGGGATGGAACACCACTGAATTCACTGATTCACGCTGCTCCAACCCTCTCACCTGACCTGGCCCCGCAGTTGTGCAAACAAATGAAAACCACACACCCTCCAAAGGCCAAAGCCCCCAGATGTTTAATTACTCCTTTAGATCAAAAGCCCCTGGGTGATGCAAAGGGTTCAATGCTCAGCTGCTAACTGAAAGGTCAGAGGATCAAGTCCACCCAGAGCCACATCAAAAGAAAGGCCTGGTGATCTACTTCTGGAAAATCAGCTACTGAACACAATGTTAATGATGCAATTGTGTCTCTCAAAAATACGTGTTGTAAACCATAACCCCTACACTTGCAGACAGAATCCCATCTGGAGACAGGGTTTCTGTGTTATGGTAATGAGGCCATATTGGTGTAGGGTGTGTCTTAAGCCAATCGCTTTTGGGATATGAAAGGAGCAGCTTAGGCACAGGAGCACAAATGGGGGAAGACAGATGCCACGCGGAGATCGCCAAGGAGCCAAGGAACAGAAGCTGAAACAAAGACCTTCCCCCAGAGCCGACAGAGACGGCCTTCCGGTACAGCCAGCACCCTGAAATGAGACTTCTGGCCCAGTTCTGCTCTGACACACACAGGGTCGCCATGAATCCGGGTTAACTCCCAGCAACTGGTCTACCTGGTTACAACAGAAAGGGAACAGCCTGACTCTTAGTATCTCTTCTCTCTGGGCGAACCCCGGGGGCTCCGGAAGGATTAACCTCCACCACTATTTTCTGAATTCAGTGGAAAAGCCCAACACTTTTAAATCCCCAGAACATCTCTCAAGCGTCCCACCCCCACACCCCCCGCCACAAAGTCCATTTTCTTGTTAAATTGCACCGAAACAGAGAAATCGGAGAAACACGAAAATTAGGAAAATAAAGGTCAGCCGATTCGTCTAGCCCCGTGTTGCGCAGCAGAAGCATCATGCACGCCACTTATGTCGTTTAAATTTTACAGTAGCCACATTCAAAGGAACGGGAAGAAAGGTGGGGCTCACTTTAGTAATATATTTTAACCCAGTCTGTTGGAAAGTAAGGAGCCCTTGTGGCACAGTGGTTAAGCGCTTGGCCAGCAGTTTGAACCCACTAGTGATTCCAAGGGAGAAAGACCTGGTGAACTGCTCTTAAAGATTACAGCCTAGAAAACCCCATGCGGCAGTTATACTCTGTCCTATAGGGTCGCTATGAGTCAGAATCAACTCGATGGCACCTAACAACACAAGATTAGGAAGTAACAGTCTGTGTCAGTGACAGACACACATTTTCCCTGTGATATGCTACCTACATTCCCTGTAACTTTCTCAGTCTTCGAAACCTGGTGAGCGTTTTACACTCACCCAAACCAAGCCAAACCAGCTGCCATGGAGTTGACCCTACTCATGGCACCCCATGTGTGTCAGAGTAGAACTGTGCTCTATAGGGTTTTCAAGGGCTGATTTTTCAGAAGTGGATCATCAGGCCTTTCTTCCAAGGCACCTCTGGGTGGACTCGAACCTCCAACCTTTCAGTTAGCAGCCGACCCACCATCTGAGCCACCCAGGGACTCTCTTCTGCTCCCAGCATATTCTGGTTTTCTCCAGCCACATTTCAAGGCCTTGGCAGCCACATGCGCCCAGCGGCCGCCATACTGGACAGTGCTCTCTAGACCCTCTTTTGCACAAGTCTGAAGTCTGGAAAATGCTAAACAGATCAGGATCCGGGCCCTACAGATGTCCTCCCATACAGTCTGCCCCCTCCCGGATCTGGCTACCAGACCACAGCTTGCCCCTTTCCGGGGCCGTGACCCGGAGGCGACTCCTCGGAGGAGCCAGCGACTCTGCCTTCGGGAGGCTTGGAGGAAGCGTCTGGCTTCCACTCGGTGGGGTCAGCAGGCAGGGACGCTGCCGTCCTGCTAGGTCCTGGGGGCCATGTGGCCCCGAAGCACAGCAAGCCACAGTAAGGGAGTGAGCGGCGCTGTTGCGCTGTGAAGAAAACAGGGCTCAATGGGCTGGGCCATCTGCCCACCGCACCCTAAAGAACACCCAAAAACCAGGCCAAGGGCCCACCCCACGCTGGGTGGGAGGCGCTCACCGTCCCTCCAGGGTGGCCACAGCAAGCACCTAATGCCAGGCTATGACCATCTGCGGTGGGGGGGCCTCGGCCCACTGCTGCCCAGGTACCCCCCACTCCAGGTTCCTTCACCCCCCCTTTCTGGGGGGGCTCAGAGCTCACAGCCCTGTCCACATCCCTGTCACCTAGACCTCCAAGGCCACTCCAAGTAAGCACAAGGCAGAGATGCACAAGGTGGGGGCAGACGGCTTGGTGGAGTCCATCACGTGGCCTCACATGCCCTCCAAACTGTCACTAAATCCGCCAAGGACAGACGTGCTGGCAGAGCCAAGAGGATGTGAGGACAAGACTCATTCAGATAGCAGCCCTATGGCTCATCTTAGGCCCTCTGAGACCAGGGATGGAGAACGACCAGAGAAAATTAAACACGTCTTCTCGCCCTCCAGGGGGTGCCATGTTGGCAGGAAGCCCCAGTGTCGGACACGGCTAGGGGCCTGCCCACCCCCTGGCACCTTCTATGGAAAAATCCTGACCGGGCAGACAGAAGGAAAAGGTGGCAGGCAGCCGCTCATGGGCACAGGATGGCGTCTCTATCAGCAGTGAGCTTGTCAACTATAAAGGGTCAACCCCCATCCTCAGGACCCACAGGCTGGACTGTGTCCACAGGGCTGGCAGGAGAAGGAGGGGACGATGGTGCAGCTGAGTCCCTGCCCCCCGAGATGGAGTGCAGTCCGGCCAACCTGGGGGCTGCTGGGAAGCGGAACACGCTGCAGACTGGCCTTGGGGCAGCCACACGTCCACCTAACCTTCCTCAGGGCGAGGAACGTTCAGTGACAAGTTCTCAGATGATTCCAGAAACAGACTGAGGATCAACTGCGGGAAGCACAGCCTGGCCCGGCTCTGGAGCAGGGGGGCAGGCAGCCTCAGCCTCCGCTTGGACCCACCTGCAGAGCCCGAGGGCGCTTACCTGAGTGGCCACTTTGCCGTAATCGATCCACCGCAGCGTGGCAAAATTGGTGGATTCCGCGCAGTTGAATCCGTGGTTGAATCCAGCGTGGTAGCCATAGGGAAACGTGATCATGAACTCCCCGGCCTCCTGCGTGATCTGGGGAGACAGGTCAGCGGGTGAGGGATGAAGCCCAGGGTTGCAATGGACGCAGTCAGTGTGCGGTGTGGAGACTGGAAGCAGCGTTGGGCCGGGGACGGGCTGTGCCGAGGGGGGCTGGGAACCCGGAGCAAGAACAGAGGGGCCTGGGCTGAAGGGCCTGGACGCGTGCCAGGGGCCAGGACTTCACCAGCCCGAGGAGCTCTGGACGCCAAGGCCGCCCTGCAGAACCACGGCTGTGGCCCAGTTTCCCGCATGGCTTCCAGAGGAGGTGCGGCTAGCAGCCCAGGCCAATGGCTCTGCCCCCAGCACCCCCAGGAGCTCACTCAAGCACACCTGGGCCAGCCAGCCCATGCCCTGACCCAGCCCCAAGATGACAAACACACTTAGCACTACACAGACTCCAATGCCTTCTACAACTGCAGGTGCTTCTCGTGGGGAACGTTTGCAGTGAGGGGGGGGTCTCCTGCTTCGGAGGTCGCTTTGCTGTGTCTCACGTCCACAGCTTGGTGTTTTGAGACCTTTGGGGGGGACGGATATGGGGGGGTGCTGGTGGCAGCTGCACAGCCCTCCAGAGAACGAGACGGGGTTGCGCACACAGTAGACTGTCTGCCTTGCAGGAGGAGGTACAGCAGGTCACAGGCACAGAACATTCCTGGAGGATGACATAAGGCCCTTCACCCTCCGGAGCACAGAATCTTTTGATTACAGCCTGAGCAGGGGGCCCTCCCGGATGAGGCCCGGGAGACCGAGGAGACAGCAGTGGGTCAGGAGAACATTATGTCACCAATCAAACCTTTGCGGAATGCGCTGATGGTTCGACATCCAGTTCAAAATGGCTTGGACAACCAGACTCTGATCAGGTCTCTGAAACACCCCCAAACTGAGGCAATAGGGGTGACAGGCCGGGGGGCCCTCCATGACATCAGACTTCCTGGAACAGCCTCCAGTGCTGAAGAAGTCGGCGGTTGGGTTGGGGGTGCAGCCTCCAGGGAGGGACGCTGCAGGTACCCACACTGACCAGCCCCACCTCTACCGCTGATGGCTGACCCCGTCAGGAAATGAAATCAATCAACCTCAGCGATCAAAACGGAAGTGATTCAAAAGACGGCAGTTCAGAAAGGCTGACAACAAGGACAGTGGTCACTGTCACCCCATGTTGGGCCCGGGACTCAGGGGAGACACTTTGTCCGCAAGGTCTCCACTTCCACACCTGCCTCCTAAGGTGGGGCTGGGGCCCAACTCCTAGATGTGGAAACTGAGGCTCAGGGAGCAACAGGGACTCCCTATGAAGTCTAGTGGACACTTCTTTCTTTTTAATTTAAAAGAATTTTTTATTGTTGATGTTGTTAAAAATATACATAGCTAAACACACCCTTTCAGCAATTTCTCCATGTACAATTCAGTGACACTGATCACACTCTTCAAGTTGTGTAACCGTTCTCACCCTCCTTTTCTGAGCTGTTCCTCCCCCATTAACATGAACTCACTGCCCCCTAAGCTTCCCATCTAACCTTTCAAGGTGCTGTTGTCCATTTGATCCCATATAGACAGTTCTTTAAAAGAGCACAATGCTCAAGGCAGACATTCTTTACTAATTAAGCTAAACTATCGTTTGGAGCCCTGGTGGCACAGTGGTTAAGAGCTCAGCTGCTAACCTAAAGGACAGCAGTTCGAATCCTCCAGCTGCTCCTTGGAAACCCTACGGGGCAGCTCTACTCTGTCCTATACGATCCCTAGGAGTCGGAATCGACTCGATGGCAACAGGTTTGGTGTTTTTTCTATCGCTCGGTTTAAAATAGACTTCAGGGGACAATTTTGGTTTAAGGTTTAAAGATGATCTCAGGGCAGCAGTTTCAGGGGTTCGTCTTTTTTTTCCTTTAACAGGTGGTAAAACACACGGGTCCTGGGTGTTGTTCGGGTCAGCAGGTTCTGGGCATGGGATACACCCGTGTAACCCCACCCAGAGCTGGAACAGACCATTTCCAGCACCCAGGACAGATCCCCCAGCCGTCTGCCAGGTGATCCCCCACCCTCTACCACCCCGTGCTTCTCTTCATGACAGACAGCAGCTCTCTCTAGAGCTCCGTATAAGGCGCTTGTACAGTGCGTCCGCTTCATCTGGCTTCGTTCGCTCGGCATGACAGCTCTGAGCCTCATCCTGGGACTTGTCCGTCATGGAAGGTGTCCACCAGTAGCTCGTTCCTTTTTACCGCTAAACTGTATTCCATTCAATTGGTTTCCTAGGGCTCCCTCAGCAAAGTACCACAAACTAGGGGCTTAAATCAAGATACATTTGTCATCTGGCCGTTCTGGAGGCCAGAAGTCTGAAATCAGGGTGTTGGCCGGCAGTCCAGTCCTTGGTGTTCTTTGCCTTGTAGCTACATCACTCCAATCTGTGCCTCCGCCTTCACGTGGCCCTCCTCCCCTGTGCCTGTCTCTGTGTCTCTTCTCCTCTCTTACTAGAACGCCCGTCACTGGATCAGGGCCCACCCTACTCCACTACAGCCCCACCTTAGCGTCACTCTATCCGCAAAGACCCTATTTCTGAACACAGTCACATTCACAGGTAGCAGGGCTTAGGACTTGATCAGATCTTTCTGGGGGACACAGTTCTGCCCTCAACATTCATCCCATGGCTCTGTCCCCATTTAGGTATCCATTCTCCTACTGATGGACACTTGGACTGTTCCCAGTTTGGGGCTCTCACGAACGAAGCTGCTGGGAACACTTGTGTACAAATCTTTCGGTTGTTGTTGCTGCGGTTGGTTGCGATGGAGTCAGCGCCTGCTCACGGTGACCTCACGTGTAACAGAACTAAACGTGGCCCAGTCCTGCGCCATCTTCATGATCGTTGGTACGTTTCAGCCCATTGTTGCAGCTATTGTATCAATCTGTCTCATGAAGGTTTCCCTCGTGTTTGCTGCCCCTCCATTTTTACCAAACATGACATCCTTTTCTAGCAATAGGCCTTTCCTCGTTACATGTCCAAAGTAAGTGAGCCAAAGTCTCGTCATCCTGGCTTCTAAGGAGCATTCCGCTTATATTTCTCCTAAGACAGATTCGTCCGTTCTTTTGGCAGTCCATGGTATATTCAGTGTTCTTCACCAACAGCACAATTCAAATGTCTTCTGTTTTCATTCTCCAGCTTTCACATGCATGGGTCAGGCGCACCTTAGTCATCAAAATGACGTCTTTGCTTTTCAGAACTTTAAAGAGGCCCTTTGCAGCAGATTTGCCCAGTGTTACACGTCATTTGCTTTCTTAACTGCTGCTTCCATGGGTACTGATTGTTGATCCAAGTAGAGATGAAACCGCTGACAACTTAAATTTCTTCTCCATTTATCACGATGTTGTTTACTGGTGAGGACTTTTGTTTTCTTCACACTGAGGCAGAATCCATACTGAAGGCTGCAGTCTTTGACTTTCATCAGTAAGTGCTTCAAGTCCTCTTCAATTTTGGGAAGCAAGGTTGTGTCATCTGCATATTATCGCAGGTTGTTACCAAGTCTTCCTCCAATCCTTATGCTGCGTTCTTCTTCATACAGTCCAACGTCACGGATTATTTGTTCAGCGTACAGACTGCATACGTAAGGTGAGAAGATACAACCCTGCCACACACCCTTTCTGGTTTAACCTTTTTGTAAACATTATAATTTCTCTTCAGCAAATATATCTAGAAGTGGTATTGCTGCATCATAGGGTTTAAGTATATGTTTAACTTTCTCAGACACTGCACAGTGGCTGCATCATTAGCTCCAAATGAGAGTTCCGGTTGCTCTGCCTCCTCGCCAGGATTCGGTGGTGGTGTTTTTCACTTTCTCCATCCTTGTGGGCGTGCAGTGGTCTCCTTGGGGCTGTACTTGCGTTTCCCTGACGTCTGCTGACGCTGAACGCCATACCATGTGGGCCATTTGCATATTTCCTTTCGTCAAGTGTCCGCTCAAGTCTTTTACTCATGTTTACTGGGTTAACCATCTTTCTATTGTTGATTTGTAGGAGTTCTCGGGCCTGCTAATCTTTATTTATTCCCCAGAGAGATGAGTAGAAATCGCTGGATTCATGTAAGTAACCAAAAAGAAGCCAACACCCTGGCAGGGCGAGAGTGAGTGGCAGGAGCTGGGGGAGTGAGTCTTCAAGAAGCCAGCTGTAGAGTCAAAAATCAATCAAAGCTGACAGAGCTTGGAGAAAAGCCAGTCCTTACGAACACCGAGATATTTTTCTTTCCCAATAATTAATTGCACCAATCACGAGGAGTCAGTGTGCATTAAGTTATGTTTTTGAATTCGTTTCCAAGTGACAAGTGCGTGTGGCGGAAGGAAGCTCACTGCCGAGGTGGGGCTGGGGAGGGAACGTGTGTGTTCGAAAAGTCTCCAGCTACGAATGCCCCCCAGCAACACCTCTGAGGTTAGGGCCACGGTGTCCCTGGTGGCGAGGATCCTCTGGGCCGGCTTCTGCCTGCAGGTCTTAGAGCGTCATGAAATAGGCGCCAAATAAAAAGAAGGTTTGGGGATTTTTTTAAAACATGCCATTACTGATTTTCTTATCCTATCTGAGCTGGCCCTGGGAAGCTTTACCTAGCTCATCTTCTAGTGCCAAGTGGCACCCCCGCTCGGGTGTCAGGGCCCACGTGTGCAAGCAGGGTGGAGAACGGGGCCTGGAAGCAAACAGAGACGGCACCACCCACAGGCACCAGGCTCGTGCTCGGCGCGGTCAGGCTGACCAGGTTCGGGCCTGCGGGTGCCTGGAAGCCTTCCTGGAAGGCAGCAGGGTCCCCGTGATGCCAAGTTTGAAATTCCAGAGGTGGAGAGGCTGCCTCCGTTCTGACGCTGACTGGCCTATGAGGTGGGTGGCAGCCGCGAGCCGGGCTTGGGCAGACATTAGGGCCCAGTTCACCCTGTGTGACTCCGTCCGTAAATAAAGACTGGAACAGAAGATGTGTTCAGTTAGGACGACAGGAAGATTATGCTCCTGTCAGGAAATCGACATCCCAGCGTCTTCATCGCCAGCCCGTCCTCTGCGTCAGTGCTGTCAGCAGCATCCGGACCATAAATCAGAAAGTACCAGGGATGATGGATAGGCCATGCAGCGGGGTAATCAGTACAGAGGGGAGCGCTGGCCCCGCATGCCCGTCAGGGAGAGAGCTGGAACGCAGTTTCTTCGGGAAGCTCTTACAGAACAAATGGGGAAGTCAATGGCAAATTACAGAAATACACACTTTTAATTATTAAAAAGCTTGGCTATTGATTTGCTTTTTCTCTGAGAAGTAAATACCGTTACAGAGATTTATAAGTGGAGTGTGGATAGTCACTCATTTGAAGGCTGCCAGGAATTCAGATGAAGGATCCACGCTCCAAAAGGGACATTCGTTCGTCTCGAGCCCAGAGCTGTGGAGGGGCTGGAGCGCGTCCGAGGCCATCGGCTCAGGGCAGGCTCTGCCAGCCTACACAGCCTCCCCCAGGCACTGGGGAGAAACCACTGCCCGGCCACGGCAGGGCCCGGCTGTGCAGGGGTGAGTGTGGCTGCCCCATCTGAGCCGCCCACAGCCCCTCTGGGGGTAGGAGGCGCCCCGCCTCTGGTTAATGTTCAAATACTCCATATATGATGTGCTCGTTGCCACTGACTTGGGAGGAAGGGGTGCCCACCATGCGTTCCCCAGGAATCCCTCTCCAGGGACTAGCATTCTAGTAAGTTCTCAGCAGACTGCCCAGAAGGGAAACACCTCCCCTTCATCGAACGATGCCGGGCCTGCAGTCGTCCCTGATAACAAAGGAAAGCTGTTCAGACCAGAAGGCGGAGGGAGGAGAGGGCGGTGGGGGCTGCATCTCAGAGGCCCGGCGCTCACGCACGAGAGCATGGTGAGGAGCCGGCCCTGGTCTCCAGCCCAGACACAGGAAGGCGTCCCAGAGCCGCCACCGCCGATGCCGAAAGCAGTTTGATTGAAATGTCAGAAGCAATTTCCCTGACTCGCTGACACTCTTCGGAGAGTGAGAAGTGGGGGATCTGATCACAACACTGCTCCTTACAAATTACTCTTCTGGGAAACCTTCAGAACCGATTCCCGCGAGGGCTCTCCTCTGCCCGCCCAGCCCGCAAGCTGTGGTCAGGGGGCGGCTCCTGCCTGGGCTGCCTGGTGGAGACTCGCCCCAGGCAGGCGGCTTTCTGGAGGGCCTCGGCCCCGTGGGGCAGGAAGTGCCCGGAGCGGGTGAACGTCTGAGCCCACCCTGAGCACTGTGACCCCTGGGCCCAGACGTGCCCCCGTTCCCCCGGAGAGCACATCCCAGCACTGGGGCTTGTCCACTCAGTTCCAGGGGCTGTCCTGCGGGGCAGGGACAAAGGCAAAGGCCAGTGCCTGGCCCGGCCCCGCCTCTGCCCCGGCTGCAGGGACGGATGGAGAGTTTGTCTGCAAACCAGAGTTCATCCATCACGGCCTTTCGCAAGGACAAGTGGAGCGGCCTCTGGAGCAGAAAACTGAATGAGTTCACAGTCTCCATGCTGCAGGGGGGAGCCTGATATTTCATTTCTAAGCAGGTGTTCACTCTCCCTGAGGATGTGACGGAGGCCGTGCAGAGGTGGCGCAACCCAAGCCAGCACTAAGCCTGCCCTGGGCGCCGGAGGTCCAGGACACCCAGGTTCCCACCTGGGATGGGCAGAGGGCTCTTCCACCCGGTTCTTCCATGGCTCCTGGGAAGGAATTCAGATGAGGGATACACACGGCAGCACTCCAAAGGGGACATCTGTCTTGAGCCCGGAACTGCCGAGGAGCCAAGGTGCATCCGAGGCCGGTGGGTCAGAGGTGGCTCCGTCAGCAGATGCGGGCTCCCCCCAGGCCTCAGGGAGAAACCACTGCCCGGCCAGTGCAGGGCCCCATGTGGGATGAGTGTGGCTGCCTCTCTGAGCCGTCACCACCAGGAGTGACCTCTCTCAGATGCCTGCAGCCCCCCCAGGGGCTGGAGGAGCCCACCTGTCCACCCACATCCATACGTCAACCCGCTCCACCCACTGCGGGGCCCTGTGAAGGGACAGCCCCACTGGTCACACCAGGCGAGGTGGCACATGAGGGAGAAGGGAAAAACAAGTCCCCACCCGCTTCCAACTCTTCCCTCTCCCTCTACAGCCCTCCTTCCGCACGGAGGAGCTGGGGGCTGACGGCTGAGCCAGTGTGGCCCTCCCTTGACCTGCCATCCTTCTAGCACCTTCTCCAGGGTGCCCACGCCCACTGCCCACACCCTCCCTCCACAGGCACGTACCCGGCTGAAGGGGATGCCATACTTCTTGAGGATGATGGGCGAGATAAGGGTCATCTTGTGGCGCAGGAAGGCGTCACAGCCCTGGGAGCTCCCGGGGAAGAAGCCTAGAGCACAGAGACACGGGTCAGTCTGCGGGCCAGCACAGCGGGGCCGTGTCCCTGAGGAGGCCAGCCACAGCAGGTCCTCCTCTCCACAGAGTGGGCACGTCGGGGCACGGAGCGTGGCCGGGGCCCTCGGGACTCGTGGCCAGGTTTCAGGGCGCCGAGGGAGACAAGCAGGTGCAGTCCAGTCCTGCAGCCCCGCGCGCTCAGCTGGGTGGTCCCCACGCCTCTGCTGGCAGCAAAGGTGACGCCCTTCAAGGGCGTCTAAGTCAGTGAAAGTGAAACCGTGAGGACAGAACTAGCGAGACTGTTGACACAACGGGAAGGACGCACCAAGGTCACCAATCTGTGTGTCTGGGAACCGTGGAATGGGCGTGGACTTGGCTGTGCATATTTTCATCAAAAATAAAATAAAATATTAAAAAAAAGGTGACGCCCTTCAGCCCCCTGAGGGCAGTGGACGAGTGGCGGTGTGGTGTTCTTGTGTGACAAGGCGCGTGTCCCCGGCGCACAGACGTGGTCCACATTCAGGACACAGGGTGGGGCAGCGCAGGGAGAAGGCGGGAAGGAGGGCAGGCCCTTCCTCGCCGAGTGTCCCGGGGCCTCCCAGCACCTACACCATCAACACCACCATCTCCACAGCCCAAAAGCCAGTGCGTGAGCACAGCCCGGGGGAGAGGCCAAGGAGTAGCCGTGCTCCCCCAGAATATTCTAGAACCAGATGAGAGTGAACAGCGTAAACTATCACGCTGTTTCATGGCCACAAGCCAATCTCTCCAGGAAGAGCGGATGATAAAAAGTGAGACAAGTCACAGGAGACCAGCACCAGGTGTTATGAGCAGTTGTGGCAGCTGGGGCAGACCAGCACCCCGCGTTGTGGGCGGGTGGGTGTGGGTGACTGGGGCAGACCAGCACCCCGCGTTGTGGGCGGCTGGGAAGACCAGCACCCCGTGTTGTGGGCGGGTAGGTGTGGGCGACTGGGCAGACCAGCATCCCACGTTGGAGGCGGCTGGGGCAGACCAGCACCTTCCGTTGTGGGCGGGTGGGTGTGGGCGACTGGGGCAGACTGGCACCCCACATTGGAGGCGGCTGGGGCAGACCGGCACCCCGTGTTGTGGGCGGCTGGGAAGACCAGCACCCCGTGTTGTGGGCGGGTAGGTGTGGGCAACTGGGGCAGACCAGCACCCCACGTTGGAGGTGGCTGGGGCAGACCAGCACCCCGCGTTGTGGGAGGCTGGGAAGACCAGCACCCCGCATTGTGGGCGGGTGGGTGTGGGCGACTGGGGCAGACTGGCACCCCACATTGGAGGCGACTGGGGCAGACCAGCACCCCGCGTTGTGGGCGGGTGGGTGTGGGCAACTGGGGCAGACCGGCACCCC